TGAAGGAGAAAATCAAGTCAGCGATAGAAAGGAGCAATCGGCGTGTCGCCGAATAGTTCCGCAATGCAGTGCTAGATCTCCCAAAGTTATAGAACTTGAAGATGCTGAAGGCCAAAGCAAAAAGGCGATGGAACTGACCAAAGGGCAGATCGTCGAGTGGATCGGCGATCCCGACTTATTGCGCCGAATGGTCCTTCACACCATAATTTTTGGCGACTATAAATACATTTTCAAATTTTATGTTTAGTATCAAATTTTATTCTGAACATTCATTAGAGTAATTTTTAGAGTTTAGAACTGAGAGTATTGAGACAATATTTTCCTTAGCTTTGAAGATTTTCATTTTTGAGAAATTGGAAATGGGTCTTTGAGATTCTTCAACCTTGACCTTTGTAAAGACTAAAATCTTACCCAGTTGATGGAAATACAATTTGGTAACGATTTCTATCTTTTTTTATGTCTAGCTAAAATCCCAATTCTTGGAGTGTGATTATGGGTTGATTTAGCTGCTGGGTATTGTTAATTGATAGTTTACATGTTGTTTAAAAGTGATTTCAATCAGTAATTATGGTTTAATTTAAGGGGTTGTAGTTGCAAATGCAACTCTACCTTCGTGTTTTTGGCTTGCTCGAGAGAGAGGTTTTAAAACCAAGATTACTGATTTGATGGTCTATGGGTATTGGGTTGTCATGGGTTCAGCTCGAGAGAGTGAACCCTAAACCTTTTTCTACACATTCAGCTCGAGAGAGTGAATGGACTAAAGCGTAGGCAGTTCTTAATTGCTGCTTATTGGTGTTCGAGAGAAACCAATTTGATTCAGGGTAAATTATTCGAGAGAAAGTTTATTCCCACTAAAGTGTAGCTTATTCACCGATTTAGAGCTATTTACTATCAGTTGCAATCACCCATTTGTCTACCTTAGCTTATAATCCAATCACATCCCAAGAACCCATCTCATTACTGTTATCTTGTTATTTGTTGTTGTTTGTAGTTGATAATTACAATCAAAACCCCCCATATTTGACACTTTTGTCACCCTTTAATTTGAACTATGCTTCTATTCGTAAATGTATTTACCTATGATTGACTTGAACGTATTCATACTTGGCTCTTAATTCTTAAGCACGTACCACTCCCTGTGGGATTCGACCCCAACTCACTTAGTTGGGTTATATTACTGACTAATGATCATTGGCACTTAGAATTGGAAGAAGTGTCCTGATATGTGAAATCAGCGCGCTACGTCAATCCTCTCCCAGAACTATCCGACGAATTTTTCTTCTCATTTTCTGACCCTAATTCATCTAGAATCGATTTCTTTTCTCAAATTCTCATTAAATTCATTTACCCAATACAAGTACACGAGAATATACTCAAAAACAAATCTCAAACTCGATACGATTATTTCAAGAACTCATCAAACCCATCCTAATTCAAGAACGAAAGAAAAACTTCAAGAACACTAATCAAGAATTCTAATCCTTCAACTTTGAGAATGAAATTTCACTAAAATAACATGATTGGCGTGTGGGTGAACGAACCCAACACTATGAGAACTCACATACCTCTTAGGGATCAAACCCTTGGTGAAAATCCGCAAGAAACCATGAAGAACTTGACGAACGCCTTGAATCTTCCCTCATTTCTCCTATTTTCTTTTCTTGAACTCTTTTCTAAAACTCTAGCGTAAATTAGGATTGTGAAAACTGAACCAAATCAGTTTAGACCCCTAAATATTACCATAATTCATTTTAAGCTAATCCCTCATATTTTCGGGTAACTTTCCTTTATTGAACAACCTGACTTCAAACAGTCATATCTCCCTCAGACGAGCTTGAAATTAGCAAACTCGGTGGCGTTGGAAAGAATTTTACAAGACCTTTCATTTGATATCTTATGGGCCATCTAACTCATCATGTACTTAAAGTTATGGTCGTTTTGAAGCTGACCCGAAACTCACATCTTAGACACAACTTGAATAATTTCAGATTTTGCTATTTCTAATTTGGTTCTTTCTATTTTTAGCTCTTTCAAATACCAAGCTGTTACAATTATATTATTTCTACATTGAACACCAACGAAGTCTCATTGTTGGAGGTAGTAGCTTAATTTTGTTTTTTCATAATAATATTCACCAGAAGTATGTGTACATAGGGTGCTTGAAGTTGATATGACATTGAAAATATTACTATTCTCTGCAAATTAGATCAACATGTTGTTACTTCTATCTTTACACCCTCGAATTTGATTGAGCAGCCTTTTAACAAAGCTATTGTTCATATTGTCATATTTATAAAGCATATATTTTCTAGCTTTACTTGTTCTTGGATTTTTGTGCTGGAGGATTTAGCTAAATACTATTAAGATGTAAGAAGCTTTCTAAACATCGGACAATTTGTTGTCTGAAAGATATTTTAATTAAATCAATACCTTTTATAACGAGGTATCATCTGCAGACTTTTTATTTAGTCTCGAGTTGGTTATAACAGTTTGAACATTCTATTGGTCTTTTATACTTCTCATAAAATATAATTTAGTAGTTTGATTGAATAAGAGATGAAATTTTTTTTATTTACCATTTGAATGGACAAGTCAAACAAGAGGTTTACTTTTATTATCTAATAAGTTAGTAATTCCTCTTTTTTATTGTATCCGTAATTTTATTGACAAGAAGTTCATACCAATTTACTATGGTCTAGCTATAAAAGTATGAAGAAATAATGTTTAAGGTCTAGCCAAAGAATGAAGAAATCATGTTTAAGATTATCCTTTTATGACTTTCAGATGATGTAGAGTGAGCATGTATTCAATTCATTTCATCTTCATTGATGTGAACTAATTTGTACCTTATATTTTCTCATATTTTGATTGATTTTCTTTTTGAATGACATGCCCCTAGCTATTGAATCGTACTTCTCTTTGAGTTTTAATTTAGCTTTTGCAGTGAGTGAAAATTATAGAGTATTTTATATATAGTAATCACATGAGTTACAAATTATTGTAAACAAGAAAGTACTAGCTTAGATTCTGCGGTGAATTTCAATTCATCTGACTACGATGCTCACATTTTTTTTATATAAACCCAAATGTTCTAAAAGCAAACTAATGGCATATAGATGCAGGATATAGGAGGAACATGAAATATTGCTGTAGAAAATGGGTAAAGAGACTTTCTCGACAACAAGGTGATTCAAGTGTATTTCTTCCACTTTTGCAAATAGTTGATTGCTTCTCATTATGATGCATATAATTATTTTGGACCTAAAATATACAATTCAATGCCATAGGGAAGTGTGGGGTATGTATACGTTCACAAGTTCAAAAAGTATGAGTGAAGATGATATGAATAGAGGAGAGTAAGGGATGTAAATAGAACGAGGAATTTGCATAATGAAGTATCTTTAAATTCTATATGAACATAGTGTTATTAATTTAAATTTTTTTCATTTTGAATTTTAAGCGTACAAGATGTTTCTAATATAGTAGTAAAGTAAAGTAATAAGAACGTAGTGTTATTATTTAATTTATTCATTGTGAATTGTTTACCTTTTCCCATTTATTTAGATCTTGAGTAGCAGCTAGCTTCAGATATCAATTGATTTCAAATGTAAGATGGTTGGATAAAACATCTATTTCATGTTGGGCTCGTGCTTGCACGGCCCATCTTGAAACAAGATGTTTTTAATATAGTAATAAATAAAATTCAAAGTAGATATTCCTTTAGGAATCTCAATAATTACTTGTTCTGATTCTACATATAAATCGTTTTGAACTAAAAGCATACTTTTGGGTGGAATATTCACATTATGTAGGATATCTTCACTCTCAATAGTTACATGCAAGTCTATAGAACATAGAAAGGTGGGATGCCCATAACATGTACGTGTCAGATGAATCAAGTCCTCATTGAATTTTATTATATATATTTAATCACCAAAAGCATGTTTTCTCCATATAAGAAATCCCCAACCCCATCCATTCAAACCAATCTAAATTTTTCATATTTTCATTCAATGGAGTTCATATCCCAACACCGACAACAAGAACATGATGATCAAAAAGGAAATGTAAGAGAGTTGATGATTATTGACAACAAAAAAAATTGTGAAATATTCCAAATTCAAATTCATCATGACCAAATTGAAGAAACAAACATGACTTGTAGTGCAATCACTAAAAAATGTTACATGTTTCTTCTAGGAATTAACTACATGTTACTTTTTATTGGTTCAATTTCATCATTAATCACAAAGGTGATAGTAGATGGGTTTCTACCTGAGTCCAATCTGTTGGATTCCCTCTTCTCCTTCTCCCTATTTATTTACCCTTTTATAAGTGCCTGAAAATATCATCTAGAACAATCCGGACGCAAATCAAATATACAAATCGATCATAAATTAACATGTTTCAGTCATGTTGAAATTATCAAATCAGCGATATAATATCATCTTGATAGAAAGTCAACGGTGGTCAAACCTATTATTTGACTTGACTAGAAATCGATCGAAAGGTCCAAGTCAAACCTGAGCCCCTTGGGAGCCATCCAAACCATCCACCCGAATCAAAAATCTCATTTTGAATCTAATAAAATTATCGGAATTTCATTTCAAGCTCATCTTTCTCAAATGTTGATTTTAATTAAACTTATCAACATTTCAAACTGAAAAACTCTTTTAAAACTCACCCAACAACCTCGAAAATCATGTCATCCATCCCCAAAAACCATAAATACCACACTAAAACTACGTATGAGAAGGGATAAAACATGGAAAACTCCAAAATCATGAAACGACTATGTGGATCGTTACACCGTATCAATTATTATTGAAAGTACTCACCTGAAAAATAATTAATATGCTAGAACATATAAAATTACACCAACAACACTAAAAATTGCATGCGCCATTAAACCCATAAAATCAATGAATAATTAAATGACCACTACACATACCATATGTGACAACACTATATCATTAATGTTTATTTTTTTCATAGCTATCCTAGCCATGATGAGGAGACTTATATCTAGAAGCAAATCCATTAAACAAAGCCAAAGCATTGCTAGTAACTTGTGCAACATTAAGAACCTTAGCTTTAATTGTAGCCTTCACTTTACTACCCTTGGAATGGCCTAACTTTAGACCATTCAAGCAAGTGTAAGCATCAATTAATATTGTACTAAGCTAAGTTTGAACATTGCTTTGATGCCATACAAACTCTTCTTGCCCATCTAAGTTCAAATTTTGAAGCTCTATGACAGAGTTTGTGAGTTGGGAAATGCCATCATAGATTTCATCTAAACATTCGTTTATTGCTTGATGATCCTTAGCCTTCATTTTCTTATTATGCTCCTTGAGCACATTTTTTATGTAATTTTTTTGTATGTATAGCCCTAACTAGGCTTACTTTCAAGGCAGCATGAACTATTTCTTGAGGATCTTGTGATGTGGGATTCACATATTTGGATAAAAATGTCACACAAGGTTCCGGATAACGAGTTTTTCTACATTGAGTCTCTACAAAGGTAGGGAGGCGTGGATGCAGTCGATCAGTACTAGTACTCTCGACTGCAACCACTATAGAGAGGACAAGGATCAGCAAAAGGGGAATGCTAATTTTCCCCATTGGTAAAGAGTGATATTATTAAAATTTGTGGGCTTTTGAGGAGCAGGAGAAATTGTTGGAATTCTACGAAAGAGTCTCGAAAGCAATTGAGATGATACAAGGGTTTGTAGTGTAAAATATGAAGAGTATGCAAGGTCTTTTATACAAAGGTTTTCACATGCATGAAGAATTTTATTTCTTTCATGGAACGTGCGCATATGCAGACTACCATGAGAGGATTATGGTATATTATTTTATTTGTCTCAATTTATATGATACAGTTTAAATTTTTTGACTCTGAATTAGGGTATGAATATTACAATATTTTTGAAATAGAATTTACACACATTTGCAAACTACATAAACATTACCATAAATCATAACAACTGACAATTCAAAATATTAAAAAGATATATGAAAAATTAGGGGTAAACAAAAAATTATTTGGATCTTGAGGGAATAATATTCTCTCCCTTCTAATTTTGTGAATATCTTTGATTGAACATGAATATTAAGTATTACTTTTTTATGTTCTAAGAAAAGGAGTTTAGGAATGATGGTAAAGTTATCTTTGTGTGATATAAAAATTATAGGTTCAAAACTTAGCCACTAATATTTGTATTAGGGGTAGGCAGTCTATATCATACCTTTTGGGATGTGGCCTTCGCCCAGACCCTTCTAATGCGGGATGTTTTTGTCCTCTTTGTTTTAATTTATGTGAAAGTGTTTGACTGGACACGAATGGACCGTTTGATTGGGAACAAGTTATCCTGGGGTTAGCTATCTTGGGATAACTTATCCCACCATGTATATGAGATAACTTATCCCATCACTATGATATAAATAGTGGGATAAGTTATCCCAAACATGGCAACCAAACAAGTTACAAAAAGTTGATCCCATCACTATTTTCTTATTCCATCAATATTTATTTTTATCCCTCACACCAAACGACCCCGAAGTTTAATAATACACGGAATATTTTTGAATTTTGTGGTCTAAAACAAACCATAGATATTTATGTGATTATATATCATCTTATTAATAGTAAAATGAGAAGTTTAAAGTTAAATTATTACTAAATACAAAATAGTGCTATTATTTTTTAGACTGACTAAAAAGAAAAGAGTGTCACATAAATAAGACATAGGGAGTAAAGACGCATTTTTGAAACTTCTGATACCTAAGATAAATCATAAACATATGTGTAGTATTAAATAATCTCATTAAATGCAAAATAAGTATGCTAAAATTAAATTATTATTTTCCCTCCAACTAAATTTAAGAGTTTTAATAGTTTGACTGAACATAAAATTTTAGATATAATATTGAGAAGTTTTTAACTTTAGTGATCTTAAATTAAAAGTGTGTAGTTCTTTAAATTTTATGATCTTAAACTTGATAAACATGTATGATGTTGAAACTTGGAATTGAAAAACTTATTGAATATAAAAAAGGGGAAAAGGTATTATACAACCCTCAACTTTGTGATTTAGAGTTGATGTAAATACTCTTATTATTATGCAAATGACCCAGATAAGACACATAAATTGAAACGGAAGAAGAACTTTTCGTAGCAGAACTGGTAGTTGAGGGGTTCATGGAAGTAGTAATGTGGTAGGTGGTAGTGTGGTAGGTGAGTATTTTATTTTAAAGATTTCATTATAATATTCTTTTACTAAGTATCTTAATTTTGATATCTTTTTAATGTTATTTTTTGGTAATGCTAAATTCATGGTAAAATATAATAATATTTATTGTAGTATTCTTCCAATAGTTGTTTTAATCTGAATATTTCTTTAATATTATTTATGATATATTCTAGATATAACATATCTTGGGTTCTTTGGTACATATATAAATTTTCTTCTATTAATTGTTCTAATAGTTTTATATCTTCCATAGATTCTATCCAATATTGTAAATATTCATAGTTCATTTTAATCTGAATTTATTTCTAAATCATA